TCAGGGTTTGGGGTTCAGGGTTTGGGGTTCAGGGTTTGGGGTTCAGGGTTTGGGGTTCAGGGTTTGGGGTTCAGGGTTTAGGCTTCAGGATTTAAGGTGTAGGGTTTAGGGTTTGTGGTTCAGGGTTTAGCGTTTAGGGTTTGGGGTGGTTCAGGGTTCAGGCTTTAGGGTTTGATGTTCCTATGTTTCGTGTTTACAAGTCCGAAGTCGGGGTTTCAATGGTATAGTACCTTACATTTCACTATAAATACACTGTAATATGCTGTCTACTATGTTTCCCTATGGTTTAGGGTGTGGGGTTTAAGGTTTAGGGTTTAGGGTTGGGGCAATCTAGTTGAGGTAGACCCCCACTTAGGGTTCATATTAAGAATCCTGGTCCTAGTCCACATTAAGAGTCCTACTATGTAGGCCTCATATCATCAGTCCTACTACTTAGGGTCCGTATTAAGAGTCCTACAAAGTGTCCATATGAAGAGTCCAATTTAGGGTCCATAGTTAGAGCCCGCGACTTAACGCCCTAGACCCGAAGCCCTCATCCCTGATACAACCCACCGACATGGGTTTGGGCGTGCCTTGTTCAGGCCGCCAGCGACGGTAGCGATCTCAGCTGTCGACTTGCTAGACAAGACCAGATGGACCATATTGTACCATATTATATTACAGTATTTTTAGTATACTGCAATCTACTAAGACTATCTTCTACCATATTGCACTAGTTTTGATGCAGCTTTGCAAGGGCATCCACATGAACAATAAGTTTATCACACGGGTCTGGGTGAGTACCTTCCTTAGTGTTTCCTTCATCATTATTACATTATTGAAATGTAATGTAGGGGTCTAAATAATTACCAATACTATTTTGGGGTTCCTTATTATAATTATAGTATAATGGGCCCCAAAACCCTATTCTGATTCTTGAGGCCCCCCATATTATCCAACACCCACTTCGACACAGTTGATGCTTTTGGGATGAAGCTTAGGAGTCCCGAGGACACAGTAGGCGGTAACCTTCTTGTCGCAGCATTCCGTTGTTTCATTCCGTTGTTTAGGGTTTAGGGTTTAGGGTTGCTCCTTAATCCCGAAAATCGGTGATAAAAAAAAGCTGCTGCAACTCTTACAGAAATACCAGCAGAGAAGTCGACAGCCCGATGTACAACCTTGCAGTCCCACCGCACACTCACCCTGGTATGCGAGCATCATATCAGTACCTGCAGGAGTCAGCAAGTGCTCCCGCAAGCACGTATGATGAAAAGTCTGTAAGCCGTAGTCCGTAGATTGTTCCAAGCCTTGCTACCAGTAGTAACAGCCATATCGCAGTAGTCATTAAAAGCATCAAAAGTTAACCCTCCAGCCCAATTGTGTAGGGAACCCCCAAAGGCACAAGCAGACGCCACAGAATACAAGTTTATTGGACTTCTATAGGTGATACACCCTAAACCTCTACAGCCTGAAAGTCTTGAACCCTGAACCCCACACGGTAAAAACCTTCCCCCGATATAACTCCTAAAGCCCTATAAATCCTAAATCCGCTGACTCAATCTGGCTGATAGTAATCTTAAAGCCATGTTCCCCTAAACTCCGAAACCTCAAATACCCTGTTGGCCTGAACCCCTGAAGCTTTAAATCCTGTCACCCTAAAACCCTAAAACCCTAAACCCTAAACCCTAAACCCGAACCCTAAACCCTGAACCCTACACCCTAAACCCTAAATCCTACACCCTAAACCCTACAAGTTGACAGTAAGGTCGCTTCGCCGGTCGATTTGGGACCGGTTCGGCACAGGCTCCGCTCTCCAGGCAGAGTTTTGGGAAACTTAGATTTGGGGTCTTTAGGGTTTAGAGTTTAGGGGTTGGGGTTTAGGGTTTAGGGTTTGGGGTTTAGGGTTTAGGGTTTAGGGTTCAGAGTTTAGGGTTTGGGGTTTAGGGTTGAGGGTTTATACCTATAGTCTCCTTTGTTGTAGTTCCTTTTTAAACCAATACAGATTTAGGATCGAATAACGTATCCCCGAAAAAAGAACTAGAATGGAGACTATAGTAGGTAGACTTCAGCCTCAGTTCAGACATCGGGTCGAGGGTCAGGGCATCGAGATTCGGTCTGGACTTTACGACTTCCAGGGTTTAATATAGTAGAGGCTTTAATAATTAGAAGAGGTTTTGGGGCCCATTATACTAGAATAATAATAAGGAGCCTTATTCTAATTATTAGAGCGTCTGCATTAGGATGTAGGGGTGCATAGATGGAACACTGGCTTCATGTAGGCATAGTACCTTCACTGTTGCTTCCGCCGCTTGCTGCTATTACCATGACCATCTTGACTTCCCAACTTCCCTGAAAGCCAGAGCTTGTCTCAAAGCCCGCCTCAGCACCAAGCGGTTCCTAAATCCTGAAGCCTAAATCCTACCATATAGTCTCCATTGTAGTTCCTTTAGTTTGTTAAGCCAATTTTATAGTACTTAGGATTCTAGGAGGGAATCCCAAAAAGGAACTACACTGGAGACTCTGGGTACCTCGTATGTGAAGCTTTGGGCCCCTAAGCCCTAAACCCTAAACCCTAAGCCCTAAACCCTAAACCCTAAACCCTAAGCCCTAAGCCCTAAACCCTAAACCCTAAACCCTAAACCCCATTCACGGCTCCGAGTCTTCGAGTGTGCGCCTGGACATGCAGAGCGAAGGCCCTCCTCGGCCTCGGGATCTCGCACGACCGAGGCGGATTTTAACCCGGAGTTTAGGAAGCTTTTGGGTTTAGGGTTTAGGGCTTTTGGGTTTAGGGTTTAGGGAGTTTAGGGAGTTTAGGGTTTAGGGTTTAGGGAGTTCAGGGGGTTTAGGGAGTTCAGGGTTTAGGGTTGAAGGCTTTGGGTTTGTGGGGGCCGGGTTACAGGATCTCTCAAGGTTGGCGATGAGGTCTTAGGGTACAGGATTTAAGGAGTCTGGCTACGGCATCGGGCATATCCCTTCTGAATTCGCTGGCTTAAAGAGGGGACTACTACGGGATATCCCCGGCTAAATCTGGTTTTGTTAGGTGTTTTGTGGGTTCCCTAAAATTCGACTGCGTGCTTCGAGCAGGGACTTTTGTGCTTGGATCCAAGGCCAGATTTTTGGAGAGACTCTTCCAGCACAGGGTTTAGGTTTTAGGGATCTAATATAGGCGCCTTGAAAATTACCCATACTATTTTGGGGGGCTCCTTAGTATAATTATAGTATAATAATGGGCCCCCAAGCCCTATTCTAATTATTTCGGCCCCTAGATTAGGGTGGTTTAGGGGCTATAAAGGCCCTCGGGGTTGGGTGCTGCGGCTGTTTCCGTTGCTGCTGTTGCAGCGACTACTGAACCTAGACTCTCCAGTGTAGTTCCTTTGGGGGGTTCGCTTATAGGGGTTTAGGGTTTAGGGTTTAGGGTTTAGGGCAATATAAAATTGGTTTAACCAAAAATAGAAACTACAATGGAGACTATAGGAAGTTTTTTTAGTCCGCTGGTGTGACCGCCCGGTGGCGTGATAATTTGTGAGGCACACTGGGTGGGGCGAGTGGGGCTGCCGTCCTTGCACAGCCGTGTTTCCCTGATCCCTACCAGCTCTACCAGAAAAGCCCTAAACCCTTAACACTACCTGTAGTTTCCAAGGGTTACCTGTTAGGATCCTTACTATAGAATTGGCTAAACCAAAAAGGAACTACAATGGAGACTATAGGTAAACCCATGAACCCTAAACCCTGAACCCCTAAGCTTCTGGGTCAGACGTCCCGTCCTAACCTGTCCTTAGCAGCTTTCTCTCTCAAGAGCCTCGGCAAAATGACCATCATTTCCCGTGGTTGCTAAATATTCTACAAACCCTAAACCCTAAACCCTAAACCCTAAACCCTCAACCAAAAACCCACACCTCTCGCTGCACTGTAATGGGCATGAACCCTCAACCTGCATGACCGGCAGCGCCCTGAAAATGGCAACCAAGTTCCACAGATAAAATAAGCGCCAGGATGCCTTAAAGGTACTTTTAAGAGCCTTAACAATTAGAATAGGATTTTGAGATTTATTGTTGCACCATATTTATGATAAGAAACCCAAAGGAACCTTATTCTAATAGGGCTGCCGATACCCGAGCTTTGCTGGCACATGGTGCCGTGCTGACGCTGGCTGCAATGAATGCCTCGGGCTCAGGCTCAGGGTTTAGGGTTTGGGATTTAGGGATGGCTGCTGTTCTGCTTCCTATACCCTAAACCCTAAACCCTAAACCTATTATCCTTGCATTTTCCCGACTCGAAAGCAGCTGTCGTTGTGTCTCAAAGAGCCAGGGAGTCCCAATTTCAGGCATGGTGGGCGGCGGAGATGGGGAGGGGGGAGCCATGCTGGCACCGCATACAGGGGCCTTAACAATTAGAATAGGGTTTTGCGGGCTCCTTATCATTTATTATTGTTATTCTTATAGTATAGTAACTATAGTATAATAGAGTTTATTATTATTATTATTTATTGTTATTATAGTATAGTAACTATAGTATAATATACCCCCAAACCCTATTCTAAGTCTCAAGACCCCTATATTACCACAGGTCCCTTCAAGCAAGTCAGATCCCCACTTCTATCTTTCGCCTCATTGTGACGAATGCGAGGAGGAGAGTCGTGTTTAGGGCTTATAGGGTTTTAGGGCATTTTGGGGTTCAGGTTTAGGGTTTAGGGTTTAGGGTTTAGGGTTTAGGGTTTAGGGTTTAGGGTTTAGGGTTTAGGGCCTATAGGGTTTTGGGGTTCAGGAATTTGCGAATAAGGCTTTGGCTAGCATTTAGGCAGGGAGCGCAAGGAGATAAGTTAGGAACATGAAGTTAGCTTGTCATACCGGAACTATATTCCTCATACCGGAACTATATGAATAGGGAACCATAAGGAATGTTATTAGTCACCAGTCGGGCCCGTGTGTTAGGGTTGTAGGGCTAAGGATCAGGACCCAGAACAAATCGAGTTGTAGAAGCAAAACGCCAATTTGGAACAATCCTCAGACTCCCTCGAGGCCATGGACATGCTCATCTCCGATTCGGAGGACGAGGACGCCCGGCCCACGTAACCCTAAAGCCTAAACCCGGTCCCGCAGCCCTCACAGTTGAGCGGCATGATTGTTTTGGATCTAGCTGTGTTGTTGCATACCCCTAAGCCCCCAGGTATTACTATATAAAGTACTAGCATCCCTTGGGCCCTGTATAGTAGGTACATGTGCACATGCATGCATGTCTATCCGTGACTTGCGGTTGGAGGGTTTCGGAAGCTTTGCTCGACTGCAGCATGGCGCTTTCGTAGAAGCACGGCATGAGATGAACACAGAAGGTGAGTCTTTGATGCGTCGTGCACCAGTCTGACCACGGAAATAACTTCCTTGTCAATCGTGAGCAGGCAGATGTGGCCAGTGTCAAGGTGATTTGGCCAAAGGCGTGCGGCGGGTTTCCGGAGCCTATTCCTGACTATCGGATCCCCAAATCACACCTGGGCAACTATCATGATCCAGCATCATATCGCTGTTATGACTTCTCACTCGTCAGGCGCCATCACTTCAAGAATGGGCCGAGTTGGTGCCTGCCGAGGTCCACTGGGCTTGCAATTTACAGAACTCGAATGCACAGGGGCCTCATCTATTCTTTGGGACTCCTGCAATTCGACAGTCGATGTTCGTGCTACGTGTGCTTGCGCTGCGGACGACATTGACCTGCAAAGGAAGATGCTTTGTGCCAAGACTATGTAGTTATGTAGAGTAACCACTAAACCCTAAACCCTGAAACCCTAAACACTATGTAGTTCTGTAGAGTGACGTAGCCAGCCGATGTCTCCTACTCCAGAGGGCGCGCCCGACACACCGCGGCAGCCGCTGCGCGGGCAGGTGCGGTGCGCAAAGAATTCGCTTGCTGCCCACTAGTCCTAACTCTCCAGGTACCTACTATATAGGGCCCTAGGGGCCTCATTGTCGAATTTGGGCTTGATGCGTCCGATGAAGGCTTGCTTGCTGCGAGCGTTCTTACATCAAGATCCACGATCGCTCCTGATGCTGATGTGTAGCTTCCTTTGCCTATGCCTCAGGTGCGCCAGATTACGCCGGAGGTTGTGCAGGAGCCGTCTTCTGGTACAGTCGCAAGGGCTATCAAGGGCTTCAATCAACATGTATGAGTTTCCGAAAATAAGGGGTACCTTATTTTGGGGTCCTTATAATAAGGATCCTACTATTTAGGGTACCATATTAGGGTCCCCTATTTTCGGAAACTCCCATGTATGAATCGTCTCTGCGTTCATTGCCTTACATCGAACCACTCACACCGAAAGACGTGTCTTTCGGAAGCGTCTCCACCCATAGCCTTTCCGACCGAGTCTCCGGCAACAAGATATTAACAATCCATGGTCCATTAGGGAGTGTCCGAAAATGGGGGGTACCTTATTTTGGGGGTCCTTATAATAAGGGACCTACTATTTAGGGTGCTATATTAGGGTCCCCTATTTTCGGAAACTCCCATTAGTGTTTAGAGGTTAGGGCTCCCTAAAGCCAAAAAATGTTGGAATTACCTTTCGTTTCATCTCGTGCCCCTGGTGGCAGGATGACACTGACCTGAGCCTTTTCAAGGTGGAGGGCAAGGACAAAAGCTGGTCCTCCGGAGTCGAGAGACAAGGGGTTTACTTGGAGGATCATGGGACTTAGTAAGTAGGGTTATAATTAGGGTAACTATACTTATAACCCTAGTTAAGGGACTTATAACAAAACCTAGGTAGTATTATTAGGGGTACCCCTTCAAGGGTACCCCTCCTGAACCCTGCTTTTGGCTCTCTTAAAAGGGACCTTATTGAGAGGGTGTATATCCCCAAGGGTCCCCCTAATCCTAGCTCCCACCGGAGTCGAGAGATGAGGGGTTTAGGGGCTTACGGTGTAGGGTATAGGGTTTGGGGTTTGCGGTTTAGGAAATTCCAGAAGGCAGTCCCGAAGCCTGTGCAGAATATCAGGGCGTGAATAATTCGGAAATAGTAGACATGATCTTCCTTCTAAGGATTCCCTTTTGGAACTCAGAAACATACCTAAAGCTACTGTCGCTTGAGGGGTTATTTTTAAGTTGTAGAATACCCTATCTCCAAACAGTGCTACACCCCCCACAGCTGAGCTGGGCTTGAGATCCCTCTTCAGGTTTCATATAGGGGCCTTGATAATAATTAGAATACGGTTTGGGTGTATATTCTACTCTCTCTCTCTCTCTATATATATATATATATATGGAACCCCCAAAACCCTATTCTAATTATGAAGGCCCCTACATTAGAGCTTCAGGTTTTAGTTGTTGGGGGTCTGGGTTAGGACGATCGGGTTTCGGGTTTAGGCTTAAGGTTTAGTGTCGGGTCCAGGTTGGGGTTTCTACTGGATTCAGGGTTTGGGGGTCTAGGGTTTAGGGGTTTACGGTTTAGGGTTTAGGGGTTATGTTTAAACCCTAGACCCTAATTAAGTTTTATATTTGCATTCAACTTACAGCTGCACAACGGACATGCAGGGGCAAGCTGCAGTCATGATCCTCTTGTAGGGTTCAGGGTTGAGGCTGTGTACATTTAGCGAGTAGTACCCCTGTACCTAATAGTCAGGTACGCACTACTAAGGATCCCGTTATTACGTGAGGTTTTGATTGCTTGGGTTTCTTGTGTGCTGAAAGTCCCACATGCATCACAGTCTGTCAATGTCAGGTTTCTGCAGAAGGGCGCCGTCACTTTCGAGCGGCCCAGTTCATCGAGGTCTGCCAAGCAGTTCCCGGTTATCGCTTTCAATGTGCGAGTTTTTGTTCTCGGCTGAGGGCTTGTAATGTTGGAATGTCTGGACATCAGAGGTTTAGGGTTTTGGCGAGTCGAGTCTTGTGATTTAGGTTACGAGATGCTAACGTTCCATGGTCCCAGCCTCACACCCAGAGAGGAGCAAGCTTCGAATTCGGGGAATCAGGAGGTCTGAGTTACGGTTGGGGGATTACGGCCACTAGGGTCTTAGGGCTTCCAGGGTTTACGGTTTCCGAAAGTCATCACCACAAGTCTGGGCAGTAATCATGACGCAGCCCACAGATCTCCGAGCCGTAGTCTGCTTCTCTAGCCCCCCTGCAAGCCCAGATTCCGCCTGGATGTCACCTTTTCCGGCGGTCCCCGAAGCCGTTTCGGAGACGATTACGCAGAGCCCGGCCACCTAGCAAGGGTAGGTTGCGAAAAGGTCCTCAAAGCTAGGATCCAGGGGTTTATGGGGTTTAGGGTCAAATGATGCTAGGGTTGTGGTTGAATGTTGGTGTCGTTGGGCTTTTGGTTGGAGACTTTACGGTATAAGACGGCGCAATTTCAGGCTCGACGAGCCTCTTTTGTAGATACATCTCGTCGATAATATTGTTGGCATAATTATTGGGAATACTGTCAGAGTTACGCAATGCTGTTGTAGCACATATGCACACATTCTCGGCACTGGTAGTTGCCAGCACCTCAAACTGCATCACTATACATTTGCGGCAGAATTTGAGCAGAGTTCGAAAGGCATTGGCATGCTCTGTAGCCGAAGGTTCAAGGGAGATGCCAGAAGTGCATCACTAGGGTTTAGGGTATAGGGCTTAGGATAGGGGGGACAGGGTTTCCAGGCTTTGCTATGTTTCGTTCTTGTGCGGTCATGCTTGTCTAGTTGATGCCTTACGCATGTTTTGAGCTCGCACTCGCCTTCCTGTTCGGGCCCGTGGTGTCTAGCTTAGCAGCAGCGGCATGGACACTCAGACACCCAAACGGACAGAAGGGAGATAGATAGAAACGTAGATAAGTATCCCTAAACCTTAAACCCTAAACCCTAAACCCTAAGTTCTAAACCCTAAACCCTAAACCCCTAAAACCTAGATAGAGATATGAGCCGAGCTACTCGTGTCAGACTCGTACGCAGTGAGCGCAGGCTGAGTCGCGCAGAGCAGGCCGAGACCGTCAACTGGCTGTTGGCGCTTGGAGTCGTGGGGGACCTGTCAGTTTGGGGCCTGATGATGGTTGAGGGATTAGGGATTGGGGTTTAGGGTTTAGGGTTTAGGGATTAGGGTTTAGGGTTTAGGGATTAGGGTTTAAGGTTTCGGGTTTAGGGTTTAGGTTTTAGGGTATAGGGTTTAGGGTTTAAGGTTAGGGTTTAGGGCGGGGGTCTTTAGTGCAGTAGGCGGCCTTAGGATGAGAACAGGGCCTGCGGGGGCAGTATACCAAAATTACTTTGGGACTAGAGCGGCATACTATCACTGACTCTTCGGACCCTCCATAATACGGAAACTATAGCTCTGAAGCCACCACCCTTGAATCGAAAACCCCTCAGGACATGTATGTGTCATTCTTGTACGAACTGTACCGAATTTATGTAAACTGACGCCTGCCCTTTCATTCGTGCCATAGGGACTGCAGGGCCCGTCGAATTCGAAATCGGTCGGAAAGCCACCCAAGCCCAAGCATGAGGACAGGCAACAATTAACATATGGTCTTAAACAGTTACCAAAACGACTTTCAGGTCCCTTACTATAGTTATAGTATAGTATACATTAACCAAATCCTAAACCGCCTAAACCCTAAACCCAGCATGACATGATCCGATGCGGGTACGTTGATGTGGAGGTTTCAAAAAAATAGGTGACCCTAATATAGTACCCTAAATAATAGGATCCTTATTATAAGGACCCCAAATAAGGTACCCTAATTTTTGGAAACTCCCATGTCTTGACGGGGAAATGATGGGGAAGGCTGTCGCGGGCATCTTTGGGGTGCGGCACTGTTCCGGATCCCAAGACGGAGGCTTTTGGGTTTTAGGGTTTAGGGTTTTAGGGTTTAGGGTTTTAGGGTTTAGGGTTTAGGGTTTTAGGGTTTAGAGTTTTAGAGCTTTAGGGGTTTCGGGTCTGCAGGCCGGTACTTGAATCCAAACATCTGCTGCCCGATGCTAAACTGTTAGGTCAGACACGATGCGGTGCTCACTGGCTACAAGGAGTCAAATCTCTCGACATGAACTCTTTCCGGTTTAGGGTACAAGGAGTCGACCCTCTCGACATGAACTCTTTCCGGCTTAGGGTATATAGGGTTTAGGGTTTAGGGTTTTCAAGTAGCTTTTACACATCCAGACTTCCACGAGGGATCCTTTCGCAACAACTCCGCTGTGTGCACACGGTGTACTGCCATAGTCGTACCTCAGCTTGACCTGGTACCTCGGGTGTGATCAGATGGTGTAGATCAGAGCTTAAGGGTTTGGGGCTTTAGGGCTTTACGGTGCAGGGTTTAGGGTTTGAGAGCCAGGACTGCAAGACCACTGGCTTTTACTTCATCTTCCATCTGAACTACCGGCGCACACACTGGCGCATCATAGCGTGTCCCCACAACGCCGAAATCGAGGACCCTGCTATTGCATCACTTCCGAGTTTTTTGGCTCGAAGGTTTCGCGCTCAGGAGTCTGAGATTGAGTTTGGTTGATCATGCATTGCCGCAGCCCCAGAGCTAGGCCTTCGGCGTTGTCCCGCCGGGAGGAAAGGTGTTAGGTATACTCTTTAGTGGCTCTCTTGGATACGGTGGCATCTGAAACACTAAACTCACTAAACTAAACTGTCATCCATGGACCCTCTTTAACTTACGAGACATCCATGGTACTCAGTCGTGTTCTTCTTCCTACTGTTGCATCAATGATCGTGCGTTTGATTAGGGTAGTAGCGTTTGTCTTCTGGTGCTTACCAGCCTTACTTTTAGAGCTGCTTTTTGGCTTTGTGAGCTTGGTCATGTCCATACTCTTCGTGTTGGTATTGCAGCACGTGATTGCCTGTCGCTATCATCACCGTCATCATGATGATGATGATCATCATCATCACCCTAAACCCCACACCCTAAACCCTAAACCCCGAACCCCTAAATCCCGAAGCAACATCATGTGATGGCAAGGGCCGGCCTATTCCCGAAGCCGTATGCCTACCTGCATCTTGTTGGTCCTGGTCAGCGCATGGAGTTGCCGGATTGACGGCTGTTGCTGCTTCGTTTTTCCGAGCTCATTTACCTAGGGTTTAGGGCTTATGGTTTTAGGGTTTAGGGGTGTGTGCAAGTCATGCTGAATTCTCAAGGATTGTTCAACATGCTGGACCAAGTAGTCATTCACTGCCACAAACAAGCTGGCGGCAGTCTTGCTAGTGAGTTTGCAAACTCTCACAAATAGCATTGCTTCGAAAGAGAGACTGGAACAACAATCAACGACAAAATCATGGTGAAGCTACAACGGTAACCATGACCTCCGACACCCAGTCCTACCGTGTGTTGAAATGGTGCTGGGAGCACCACAGCATTACAAATGTTATGGCTAGGGCCCCGCCGTAAGTGGCAACATTATCACGCGAATTATCTCAAGTGCGCAGGCAAAGAAACGTTCCCAACAGCGCTTTGGATATAGTAGTATCGTACCAGTACTACCATCATCATCAGCTGCAGCATCACCCTTTCGTCATCATTCCACCATCACTGCGTCATCATTTCGTCATCATCATCATCGTCGGCATCATCATCGCCCTGATCACGAGTATTGTAAAGCCGCCTTCTTCATCAGTCTCGTCTCAACTTTCATCGTCTTCGCCAGCATCACGAACAGCACCAGCGCGCAGCCATCATCACATGTACATGATGAAAGTTGGAGCGGCTTTCCGATCTGACTCGAAGGACTTCGACGGTCAACGGTTCACCTCCGATCCGCAGGATGGCTTTGCAGGGCGCAAGAGAACTAAGGAGTACTACAAGGGGGACTCTTATGAACACCCTATACAATTTGTTTAGGGTTGCTTTAGCATTGAGCTGACAGTTTCAAAGCTCCCTTGGATCTTTGAAGACTCGGGGCATGTCACAGGAGCCATGATTTGTCGCAAAAGAAATTGCTACTGTAGAGTTTGGGTGTTTAGTTTAGGATTTAGGGTTCAGGGTTTGGGTTTTTAGTTTGATGTACTCCTGTTTCGGGCCAAGTGATTTCAGGCTCTGAAGGCAGCCGAAATCCCTAGTCCGTTCGCCCATGAAGTTTCCGGGGCCAGTCACGGCAAGTACCTGAGCCCCAACATGTTTCAGAGCTTTCCAACCTACACTAGACAGCAGCTTACACACCCTAAACCCTGAACATTACTGTATACAGGCCAAACATCAAATGATCCACCATGTTGCGGACAAGGGCTAGCGTTGAATGGGTTTCCAGTGCTGCAGCTGTCTCCCTGACGCCTCCACGGAATCCACCAATCCCTAGGTTTAATGGTCCAGGGTCCATGTACCCAAATAATATATACTTTGACTTTGAAGTGCGTATTTAGGGGATTACTTTAAGGCCAAAGTATATGCTACATGAGCGCATGGACCGTTAGGGAGAATCGAACATGCCAGTTTACGTGTCCCTAATTGTCATTTTCGCCCCGGCTGCTGTATTATTGTCCGACGTATTGACATAGTCTGCTAGCATTACCAAACTGTCGTACTTTTGCGTCTGTACTCAGAGAGCTGCGCTTCTGTCATGCCGAGTTCCCTGAACCCTGAACCCTAAAACCTTAACCCTAGAACCCTGAACCCGAAACCTTAAACCCTGAGCCCTGAACCCTAAACCCTGAACTTTAGGGTTCAGGGTTTAGGGTTGAGGGTTCTAGCCCTATAAGCCCTAAACCGTAAACCCCTAAACCAGAAACCGCTTTTGGGGGAGCCCTAAACCCTAAACTAACCCTAAACCCTAAACCCTAAACCCTAAACCCTAAACCCTAAACCCTAAACCCTAAACCGAAACCGTTTTTGGGGGAGTTCCGGAGGAAGATGGGCAGTTTGAGCTCGAGGCCTATGAAGGCCAAGCCCTGCCGATGACTCAGCTGCCGGCCGTACTCAGAGGTCTGAAGATGTTTAGGGTTTAGGGTTTCGGGGGTTTAGGGTTTAGGATTTAGGATTTAGGGTTTAGGGTTTAGGGTTTAGGATACTCAGAGGTCTGAAGATGTTTAGGGTTTAGGGTTGAGTATGAGACTGGGTTTCGGGTTTTAGGTGGAGTCTCATGGCTGTTGTACTTAGACGTGGAGGTCTGATGTCATAAGGGTGCAAGGCTTTATGGATAAGTGGTTACAGTACCCCGTTGGAATATAGCCCTTATATGTTACAGGCCACAAATAGTCAGATTGTGAAGGTCCCTGTAGTCTTCGCCTCAGCATTCTGCGTTAAGTTGTTCTCAAGCATTCAGAACGTTAGGACTTTTGTCGGTGCTCATCGTATAGCAGTATGGAGCTCATCGTATAACAGTATGGTCCACTCTGAAGCACTGCAGTTCTCGAAGGTTGCACTACATGTTCCAGCACTTCACAAGGGATTGCACCGCTCCCACATGTAGAGCAGAGCATGATGAAGTCTTATCGCAGGGTGTGAGATGTGTCGATTGATCGGCCGTTATCACGGCATCCTGTGTGAAAACTACACAGTGCCTTCTTGCTTGAGTACTGGACAGCAAGTATAGTTCGATCTTCGTAATACGACGATCATGAGGGGGAGGTATTTTTTCAGGAGTTTGAGGATGTGTGTGTTCCCTTCGACTTGGCACCTGCGGTCTGCAATTTGTTGCAGACTTTGTGTCCCTAATGGAGCAAGGTTATGAAGCAAGGCGAAGCAAGAGACTGTCAAGCGTTTACCCTAAACCCCCTAAACCCCCTAA